GTAGTTGTTGTTTTAAACTTGAGTATGAACTTATACAAAATGCAGCAAGATATTTAAAAAACAGTTTTGTTGATTAAAAAACACTATATCGGATTCATATCGGTATCGGTATCGGACATAAAAAAGTGGTATCGTGCCATCTCTAGTTTGTACCTGAGTGTGTGTGTCCAGAGTGGGCGGTCCTGTTGTTCACACTGATCCTTTCAGACACCACACCCTGAAAACACACCAGCTCTGAGCTAAAACACACACACACACACACACACACACACACACACACACACACACACACACACACACACACCAGTAGGAGTTTAAAGCAGACTGCAGCTGCAGTTCCTCGGATGGCCACAGGGGGCGACTCAGTGAGGGACGAGCAGTTTACCTGCAGTCTAAGACCTCTGAGACGGACAAAACTGTGGGTGGGACGGCCTGAAAACACAGAGAATAGAGATGGAAAATGTGACGTCATTCAGGGGTAAAACCGCAAAGGATTCTGGGAATGAGTGGCAAGCGGTACTAGCGCACGCAGGCTTTCACAAGAAAACAGTCACACAGTAATAAAAAGAAACACAAAAATGGCAAGAAGCTGCTGTATTATTAACTGTGTTGTATTATTAAGTCTTCCTTTGTAGTTATTACATAATTTATCATAACATGATTGTTGATGTAGGTTACAAATAAGTGTTATATTGATTTGAGTTGAATTCGTTGCTATGCTGCTTTGTTCACTGTGGCTTTGCGGGCTCATGTTTGTTGTGTTTTGTAGGAAAACCAGAAACAAAATGCAGGAATGATCCAGACTGGGCCCCTCTATCAGCCTGGGTCATACCGAGTTTAAAGCTGCTACCACAGCCAGATCTGATCGGTTAAGAGAGAGAGCCACGAAACATCCGCATATATGTGGCAGAGAAGAGGACCTTAAACTGCTGGACATTATGAACAATGCTGGGCATCCTCTGCACACGGTCGTAAACAATCAGAGGAGCCTATTCAGTGACAGGCTGCTTCTCCCAAAGACAAGAACCAACAGACTTAAAAACTCCTTTGTCCCACACGCCATCAGACTGTTTAACTCCTCACTAGAGGGGAGAGGGAGGGGAGACAGGGGAACAAGGGAGGGGGGAACAACTGAGTTGTAGGTGCTTTTCTACACTGTGCAATATTTGCAATGTTAGTTTTTGGGTTTTTTTTGTCTTTTTCCTTTTCTTATATTTGACTGTGCAATATACTCACTCAAATGAGCAATCCTATTTATCCATATTGTATATTCTGTATCTATACAGTGGGGCAAAAAAGTATTTAGTCAGCCACCGATTGTGCAAGTTCCCCCACCTAAAATGATGACAGAGGTCAGTAATTTGCACCAGAGGTACA